CTTGAGAAACATCGTGAATGCGCGATGGTATGTTGAGGATCTTGCGATCACGGCTGTATATAGCCAAATAAAGCGGTTTGCACAAAAACATAAATCTAGAGTTGATATTTAATAGTGCCTTGTGAAAACCACTGGGCGACCAGAAGATTAGTCACTTTAGTGTTTAGTTTTTAAGAATTTAATATAAAAAAAAAATTTAAATAATTATTTCTTTAATTTATTTAGATCCCCGGAATGTTAGCGGCAATTGATGCTAATAAAGAGCAATCAATTGCAACTAGATTTGATATCCGAGGATTCCCAACGATTAAGTACTTTGTTTATGGCGAAGTTAAGTTTGACGTTAACGTGAGGGACGCTCCTAAGATAATTGCGTTTATGAGTAACCCATCAGAACCCCCCGTTCCACCTCCAGCGGAGATCCCATGGGCTGATGATACCAAAACGAACGTTGTTCATTTAAACGAGGACACATTTAAACCATTTTTGAAGAAGAAAAAACATGTTTTGGTTATGTTTTATACTCCATGTACGATTTTTTTTTTTGATATATCAAAAAAAAGTACTTTTATTCTTAATTTGTTTTATTTAGGGTGTGGTCATTGTAAAAAAGCGAAACCGGAATTCGAAAAAGCAGCTGAAAAATTCCGAGATGATCCAAAAGTTGAATTCGCCGCTGTTGATTGTACCACGCAACAAAGTTTATGTAGCGCACAAGATATAAAAGGCTACCCAACGATACGTTACTTCAGTTACTTAAAATTCGAGAAACCTTATAGCGGTGCTAGAACGGCGCAAGATTTTGAAAAATTCATGCGCGACCCTGAAGCTGCAAAACCACCTCAATCAATGCCTAAACCAAAATCGGAACAATGGCGCAAAGAAACGACAACGGCTATTTTACATTTAACTGATAATAATTTTAAAAGAGAAATTGCTAAAGGTAGCCCAGTTTTAGTGATGTTCTACGCTCCGTGGTGTGGTCATTGCAACAAAATGAAATCAGATTATAATAAAGCGGCTGAAGATATGAAAAAGGAAGGCTTTCAAGGAAGTTTTGCTATGTTTGATTGTACGGAAAATCCTGAAATTACGGAAGAGTTTCAAATTTCTGGATTTCCGACGATTAAATTATTCGTCGGTGGGAAATATGTTAAGGATTATCGTGGAACGAGGACTATGGAAGATTTAAAAACTTTTATGAAGACGTCAAATATCCGAGATCGTCAAGAACTTTGAAGAAATTAAAAAAATCGTATAATATAATTTTGTATGTTGTATGTATTTTTTTTTTTATAGTTTTGATGATGTAATGTTGATGGAAGAATATCTGTATACCTCATTTTCTTGTAGACTGACTTGTTTTCTCCTATTATATCAATTTATTACTAATTAATATTGACTAATATTTGGCAATATCTTTTTTCTATTTCAAGTTTTTAAATAAAAATAAATATTCTTTTAATAATAAGCTGTTTTGATTTAAACGGATTGAATTGGACTGCGTTATACATTACTTGACGCACAGCATAACCCTAAAATTTCTAGTTTTAGTTTTATTTCTTATAACATCAACAATAACATTTACTCATTATGTTTGTAATTAAAAAATACGATGATTTTCGATTTAATTAAGCCTTAATATAACAAAAATTCAATAAAAAGTTATTAAAAAAAATTAATTAATGTTACTAAATTTCACTAGATGGCGCTAACTCCTACGCGTCTTTTTCAAATGACATTTTTGACGTTTCATTAAAAAAAAATGTAACTTATTTTGAGTTAGAAATAAAACTAAAACTAGAAATTTTTCGTCTTTGACGCACGGCATAATCTTAATATTTCTAGTTTTAGTTTTATTTCTTATAACATCAGAGTGTAATTCTTATGTAAGTACGTCCCAACCTCACTTTTACAACTTAACCTCACTTCACTAATCCGCTTTATAACATTTTAGCGATTTATAAGAACCAATCTCGTTTGAAACAGCTACAAAAAGTAAACTCGGCCGACTTCGAAGACATCGGCCGCCCCCGAAACCATTTACTCAAGTTGCGAGCAGAGATCTAACTCAAAGTTCTGATGTCTCGAAATCCGTGATGGCCGGGGGCGGCCGATGTCTTCAAAAACGGCCGTGTTGGTTTAAAGCTGTGCTGAAACATGATGAAAATTTCAGTTTGTTATCTACCTTTTATCCGTCCTAACCTGATTTTTCTAAACCAACCTAACCTCACTTTTTCAAGTGAAATTTGTGACGTTTCATAAAAATATTAATCCATCTTTCTGAATCGCTTCAGCTCTTCTGAAGCGCTAATATGAAACAAAATCGACGACGTGAATAAAATAACTTTGTTTTTAATAAAACGTCAAAAAATGTCAATTGAAAAAGTGAGGTTAGGACGAATATAAGATAGATAAACACGGTTTACACAAGTTTTAAATTGACACGGCCGGTTTCGAAGACATCGGCCGCCCCCGAAGGCACGAAATATTCATTCTCACAAATGCGAGTAGAGGTTTTCATGTTTCAACGCCCGCGATGGCCGATTATTACTATTGAAATTAATGAAATAAATTTTTGAATAAAGTTTAAACGTCAATGTGACACAAATTCAATGTTACCAACTGTAACCAACTTCACAACCATTTGTCAAAATGAAATGTCAATTTTATGAAACGTCATGTTTTTTTACGAAAATTAATTAATTTATGCTTAAATCATACGAAAAAAGGATTTTGTTTACGTTTTTTTTAATGTCAAACCTTTAGTCTCAAAAAACCAAAAAGTTCCAACTTTCAACTATTAATTTTGACATATTTGTCAACTTCATTAAAAAAAAACCTTTAAAATGAGTTCAAAGATGATGACGTACTTATTTCAAAAAACAAATAAGTTAGAATAAAAAACATTAAACCCGAAGTTAGCAACAATGAAGATAGCAATTTAATTTTTAAATATTAATACCAACCTTAATTTTTGATTTTATTATATTTCTCTTTTTGTGACAAATTTTAACACATTTTATAAAAATTAAGAATATGTCAAAATGACATTGACATTTCAAACCGGAAGTTGCTTATATCTCGAGTAATATTGGAATTAAACGTATCATGTATGGACTCATTTTAAAGGATTTTTCACGACAATTACAAATATGTTAAAATTGACGTTGACATTCTTAACCGGAAGTTGACCATAACTTCATTAATATTGCAGATAAATGTGTCGTGTTTGTACTCATTTTAAAGGATTTTTAATGAATATTACAAATATGTCAAAATTGAGGTTGACATTTTAAACCTGAAGTTAATCTAGTGTTGGTCAGTTTTCCGCACTTTCTTTTTACTTTTAACGTGATATAGGTGAACCCATGGGAGTACCAAAAATTTGCTGATATGAAGTACCATTAAAATTGAGAAAGGTGTTATCATAAATAAAGGAAAGGGCTCTGAGAAACAGGTCCCTGTCGACATTAAACTGGTCTGAAACATGATGTCAATTCTCAATAATTATGTTAATGACCAAAGAAATCGAAATGTTAGTGAACAAACTAACCACGTCTAATGAAACAACCATAAAGTTCTCTGGCAACACTGTGCCCCCCAACTCTCTGACGAACTCAAACGTGTTTTTGACATTATAAGTGGATAGTGGGTCGAAAAACATTCTGGCGAACACCGATGCAACACCATAATTGGCTGAGCCAACTGTAGAAATGATTGGTCTAAGTGGAATCCCTTGTTTGTGAACTTTGGGTAGAAAGTAAGCTTTGGATAAAACTGAATTATATTTAGTAAGTTGTTTGAACTGTATATCGTCAATTACCTTGTTGTTTAATAAATCCTTTACCAATTTGTTTATCTTTGTTTGAATGATGTTCGTCATATCTTTGTTGCCTTGGACCTTTTCGTAGGTATTATGATCCTTCAACATCTCCTCTGCTTTCTTCACATAGCCAATTTTATCCAATATCATATATTTTTAGAGAGATGAAAACGAAAATACAGTTCTTCTCAACATTATTCATTTGTCGCTTAGTCAAGTGATGCATAACGCGGTCCAATTATGGGTTATGCCAACATTATAGGTTATGTTACTTCAAAAAGCTGTCAATCATAAACAAGTTTATTTTGGTTACAAATTAAAAATGTACCTTCTAGCTTAAATAGTAGGGTATACATACCTTGCTGTTAAATTATACCCATTGATCCACAAAAAAAAAGTACCATTTACCAGCAATTAGGATTATTTAGTAGACAACCTAAAATTATTTAAAAATGCACTCACTTAATTATTGGTGGTATTACCGCATTCCATGGCTCGAATTTATCTTTTATATTCTTAGAAATTATTTATCATCTTAAAAAGCTCTAAAGTTAAAACAAAATTAAATATTATACCTTGACATTTAGTTCTGCAATTGACAGTTAACAACTAACTTCAAATTTTTCTCGATTCAGAGCTACCAACCTTAACGTGATTTGATAACGGAGAAATAAATATTTTTGATTTAAACATTAATATTTAAATTATGTGAATACAATATTTAAAAATAAATTTTTTTTTTTAATTATTAATGAAAATATAAATTGCTTTATAGTTTTGATAATTTGAAATTTTATTATTATTCATAGGTACCAACTTAAATTATTTTTTACTAAATACTCACTTTAATTTATAAATCTGAATTTTTATTAATTTTCCAATGACACTAATAAGATATTTTGAATATGAGGCATATTTCTTTCTTGGGTGAATCGATTCTTCTTAAATCTCCTTCTAAATGAGTTTAAACAACTCTTAAAACATCATAAAATGATATTTTTGCCGATAGATGGTAGCAAACAAGGCTATTTTCTTACTTTTGATTCAGGTGCCCTTCATTACATCTCAATCAAGTTTTATTAAAAGTTAATTAAATTAACGTTATTTGTTTTAATAATTTAATAATATCGAATTAAAATTAAATATAAAAAATGAAAAAAAAATGGTATAGCAACCAATGCTTTTTTATTGACAAACAAAAACAAAAGTGATAACGGAAATGTTATTATCCAAATTCTAAAGGGCTCATCCTCTAAAATCAATCAAAATTCTGTGTGTGTACAGTATTTATTGAGGGACTTGTCCAAATTCGAGGTATTAGATCCAAAATGGTATGTAAAAAAAATTAATTTTTCCCTCCAAAGAGTAAAAAAACGAAGTTGACGTTTTAATTGTTAGAGGGAGTGTATTTCGGTGCATATCGGACAAGCGGGAGTCCAAATTGGCAATACAACGTGGGAACTCTACTGTTTAGAACATGGAATCGAAGCAGACGGCAAAGCATCAACAACGACAAACGATAATTGTTATGGAACGTTTTTTTCAGAAGTCGAAAATGGAAAAATGGTGCCAAGAGCTGTTATGGTTGACTTAGAACCTACCGTTGTTGGTAAAAACCACCAAAACTAATTCAATACTACAATAAATTGATTGTAAATTAAAACTTTTTTTGTAGATGAAGTAAGAACTGGAAAATATAAACAATTATATCACCCAGAACAATTATTAACCGGAAAAGAGGATGCAGCTAATAATTATGCTCGAGGTCATTACAGCATAGGAAAAGAAATGATTGATGTGGTGATGGAAAGACTTTATAAATTAGCAGAACAATGTTGTGGATTACAAGGATTTTTTGTATTCCACTCATTCGGTGGCGGAACCGGATCTGGATTTACATCTTTACTCATGCAAAAATTATCGCAAGATTTTGGGAAAAAAAGCAAATTAGAATTTGTTGTTTACCCCGCACCACAAGTAAGATTTACAACCAAAATCGTCTAAATCACAATTAATTTTAAATTTTAGGTTTGCACAGCTGTTGTTGAACCTTACAATTCAATTTTAACCACTCACATGACTTTAAACCATTCCGATTGTGCTTTTATGGTGGATAACGAAGCGATTTACGACATTTGCCGTCGAAAATTAGGCATCGAACGTCCCGATTATTCCAATTTGAACCGTTTAATCAGCCAAGTTGTGTCTTCTATAACCGCCAGTTTACGTTTTGATGGGGCCTTAAACGTCGATCTCACCGAATTTCAAACAAATCTAGTTCCATATCCTCGTATTCATTTTCCGTTAGCTTCTTATGCTCCCGTTGTTTCTTTGGATAAAGCATATCATGAAGGGATGTCTGTATCTGAGATAACTTCAGAATTATTTGAACCCGCTAATCAAATGGTGAAATGTGATCCCCGGCAAGGAAAATATATGGCTTGTTGTTTATTATATCGGGGAGATGTTGTTCCTAAAGATGTTAACGCAGCTATTGCTCAAATGAAAGCGAAAAGTAATGTGAGATTTGTTGATTGGTGTCCAACTGGTTTTAAAGTAGGAATTAATTATCAACCACCAACTGTAGTACCAGGTGGTGATTTGGCACGTGTACAAAGAGCCGTTTGTATGTTATCGAATACAACGGCGATAGCTGCTGCTTGGAATAAATTAAATCGTAAATTTGATTTGATGTTTGCAAAAAGGGCTTTTGTTCATTGGTACACTGGTGAAGGTATGGAAGAGGGTGAATTTCAAGAAGCCAGAGAAGATTTGGCTGCCTTAGAAAGAGATTACGAAGAAGTTTCATCTGAATGTTGCGATTACGATGATGATAAATTGTCCGATATGTAAAAGAAAGAAGAGGAGAGTTGTTTTTTTTTAATATTTTTCATAATTTTTTGGATAATGATTTTTACTTAATCTTATTTTATTTATGCTATTCGAAAAATACATCTTATTTTTTTCATTTGGTTCAAAATGGTTTTTATTTTAATGACTTTAACAATAATATATTAATATAGACATTTTTTTTAAATATTTAATACAGAGATTCAATTCGTTTATGTCTTAATTTTTTTGCTTAATTTTTCAATTTCCACTCCCAAAGTATCTACATTTTCCTTTAAAGTGATATTTTCAAGTAAAGCGTCTTCAAGTACAGCCTGCAATTTCCGGTTGATATCTAATGATAATTCTAAGGTTAAATTGTTATCGGAAATTTTTGAACTGTACATTGAAGACATTACTCCGGGATATTTTGCTAAGATCGCCTGCAAAGGAATTTAAATTAAATGAGGTTAGGTCAAAAAATTTATAATGAAAAAAAAAATACATCGAACTTTAAGCGCTAAAAAGTATAAAAATACATAAAAGTTATAGAAACTTACCAAAATTTGGAAGACTGCAAAAGCGAAATTGATTCTTATCAATTTAAATTAACGAAAAATTGTTAGGTTATGTTTGTTTTTGTTGGTGTCAATAATTTAACAAATCTTTGATTATCACTTCAACCCATCTTGGCCCGGTATATTTTCTGGTTGAAATTTTTTGATGACTTACAGAAGAGAGTAATAATAGGTCAAAATAGACTAATATGGTAAAATTTTAGTCTTTGTCGTACTTTATCTTCAATTCTGGATAAAAATGACATGTAAAGTTAACACTTATTTTACATATCAATTTCCAAAAACATTTAATTAATATTGAGTAAACATATTAAAAGTTGTACCCTTATGTTTATGTAACACTGTAATAGCTTCTTGAATGCTGGATTTATTTATCTTTTTCTCAACACTGTTCATGAACAGATTTTATTAGCAATGTTAAACTTTAATTTAAGCTACAAAAAAAGTCTCACAAGATCCCAGGTTGAAATTTGGTTTTTTATTAAAAAACTTTAAAAACATTTTCAATAAAATGGCTAATATACAGGGTGGTGTCTATGGATATTCGACAGTGAATACTGAAAGATAGTTTTGAAACTATCAATCATTTACAATTTTTCAGAATAACTATTTTTTATGAATTAATACTAGTACTAACTCTATTATTAGATCTAGAAGCTTTCGGACTTAACCGTGCGTCTTTAAAAAATAGTCACGATTCAGATATCATGTTGTAATCTTCTTCCCAAACAAGTCCGAAGTATTTTTTTAGTTAAAAAATACCTATCCAACACTCAGTAATAAAAAAGAAAATCAATGACGCGTTAAAATGCCAAACCAGATGCCTATTTCACAAAAATTATTATCAAGAAATAAACATTTAAAAATTTTACAAACGACACAATTCTATTATATAATTGGTATTATATGCCTGTGGCAGTGCATAAAATTCTTGTGCATGGCCACTTAATAATAAAATCATTCAAGTATCCAGATTAGCCTGCTTTCAGAAGATGCGCAAGAATCTCGGAATAAAGACCTTAGAAGGTATAGAGAGAACTTTTCCAGAAAAATGTCAAGAATACACATTAATAGAGACATTAATAATTTAAACGGACTAATAATATCTTCAGACCCAATTATAACATCATTTCATAGCAATAAATCAAGGAATAATACAGATTTTTCTGAAGAACTTATAAGCCTTCTCTTCTATGATAATGATGAAGAAAGAAATAATTTTTTATCGTCAATTGCAACTAATAATTAATTAATTAAGTTTATTGCTACCAAATCAGCAATACATTCCACAAACAATTAAATTTTTAGCAATACTACAATTACATATATCACATTACAATACAATACATTTTATTTCCTATCCTACCCCTCCCCATCTCCTCCCCGCATCTCCCTACGCTGCCTTGTCGCCACCACCTCCCTCATCCATTCTCTTCCCTCTGCCCCCTCCCCCAGCACCTGCTTCCAGCCGATCACCTCCTCTCTTAGCTCGTCACACTCCCTCAGTAGGTGCTCCAACGACTCCCACTCCCCCCCACATAGCCTACAACCCCTCTCATCATCTCTCATCCAATACCTATTCGCTCTCTCCTCATTGCCGCATCTGAATCTTGCCACCATCCTCTTCCCCTCCTCATCCCCCTCCACCGACAGGTACTTCGGCAATCCCTCCGTTATTATTTCCTCGTACTTAGGGTTGTACCTGCTCTCCCTTATCTGCCCCCTTCTTTCTTGCCTCTGTACATCTCTATCCCTGCTCTCCAGCTCTTTCCACATCTCAATCCCTTCCCTCCTTCTATCATCTACCGCTTTCACTGAGTACCCCACCCTTCTGAAATATTCCTCCCTCCCTCGTTGCCCGTAACCCCCTTTCCCTGCCTTAATCTCTTTCCAGCACTCCCCCAAAATTTTACATTGAGACCTCCCTTCAACCCTCTCCTCAAAACGTACCGCCCTTTTACCCGCCTCCACTCTTAACTTATCAACCTTCACCTCTTCTCTGACTATGTACTCCGGCGTCTCTTTTGCCAACCCCAAAACCCATCTCCAATACCTAGCCTGTACGCCTTCCAACAGCCCTTGCTCTTTCCACCCCCAAAGCTCCGCCCCGTACATCATAACACTTCTAATCAAGCACTCGAATATCATCTTCCTTTTTCCCATATCCCTTCCAAATAATCTCTCTCCCCACCCCCAGACCTGCCCCATCACCTTATTCGCCTTCTTTGCCATTGCCCTCACATGCGCGCCTTCCTTGTTGTCCTCTCTAAATCTGTACCCCAAATATGTGTACTCCCTCACCTCCTCTATCTCCTTCCCTTCCCACCTCCAGTCTTCGCTCTTCCTTCTACCCCCTTTACAGAACTTCATAACCTTTGTCTTTCCTACATTCACCTCCAGAGCCTTCCCCCTAAAATAACTCTCCAAACTCCGCATCATCGCCTTCATCTCCTTCGCCTCTCTCGCCACTACCATCTAATCGTCCGCGTAAGCCAGTGAATGCACCTTCCTCCTCCCTACAACCACACCTCCCATCTGCCCACCGGTCAATCTGTCTTCCATGTCTACGGTATACAAGGCAAACAGAGCGGGACTGAGTGGACATCCCTGCCTCAAACCCCTCGTTGTCCAGAACCTATCCGTTAACTCGTCCCCCACATTGCAACTAATATAGAAATTGTAAAACACAGTGAGGACGAAGAATAAAATACTAAATTTGCTTATGGGTTAAAACATAATTTATGCTTATCGTTATATTATTAAACATTTGTCACAAATTAACACAGAAACAGAGAATAGCGTAGTTTACTCTATTATTGCAAATAAAAACTGCTATTTTTTCGAAGACAGCTACATGAAAAATACTCAAAAGTTACGTAGAATCCATAAATGCAACAAAAAAATGGGGTTCCTATTTTAAAATGTCAACATACGGTATCTCAATTTTGGGATACCTATACATTTCAATTTTATCTCAAAAAATGCGCGTTAAGAAATATAACATAGATATTCAAGCATTTTTTTCTGGAAGTATATCCCTCAAATTTTTATCGAATTGATTTCATACTTTGTGTACACAGTGTATACAGGGTGTCTCACGTAACTGTACGTTCTATTTGTACAGTTTTGAAATTTTGGTAGCATGGGTTGTTCATTCGGAACTTTCGATCTAAAATGTTTTCAAGATGGCTGCCACTTCAGGTCTACCGGAAGTAGACCATAACCTCGTTATTTTAAATGGAATGCTACAGTTTTTATTACACCTTTTAATTGTCTTTAATTGTTTATTAATAGTCAACATATTTTTTTATGTACAATTATTTAGTGTTTTTATGCACTGTTTATAGATGAAATAAATCCTAGCTATCCATTAAAGAGATATTATAATGGTATTAAACGTTTTCAACTTCATTTAGTTGTAATTTTTGGCCAGATATTCATAACTTCCTAACACTGTGCGATTTTTTACCGAACAGATTAAACGATGCGATTATCGACAATTTCTAGAAGAAGTACTGCCGGAACTGCTGGAAGATGTACCGCTTCAAGTAAGACAAAACATGCACTTTATGTATGATAGAGCTGTGGTCCACTTTAGTTTGGTTGAAACCCAGAACGTTGGATCGGTCGAGGAGGTCCGCACCATTGGCCACCGCGATCTCCCGCACTTAATTGTTTAGATTTTTTCTTTTGAAAACCCTAGTCTACGCTACTCCAGTTCTACTTACAATTAGATAGTGATTCCGTTCTTTTGCAGTTCCAATATAATTTTCTTCCCTTGTCTAAATCTTTCCAGTTTATTAACCTCTTCTATAAACTAACTTAGCTCAACCCTGCCCAACCCTTTTCTTTCTTTTTATTTATACAGGAGGAAAAAGCTCCAGCAGCAAACCTGACTCAAGACCAGGTTAAGCATTTCGATTTTCGGCCTATGTCGCTGATCCGAGGCTCCAATTTTTTGTTCACTCTCTTAGAAATTTACTTTGCCTTTTCATATATTCTCCTCAAATTCCTTAGCCTGAATCACCCTCCTCATATACCCACGATTTCCCATTTTTCCTCGCTTTGTAACATAGTCTCGATGGTGTTTTCCAGGGTTAATTTCCTTCCCAGTTTGGAGTTTGTTTCCCTCGCCATATTCTTCCATCTGTTGGGGTCTTTATATGGGAATTTAGCCCAACCCAACCCATCTTTTTTTTTATGAGATCAGAGAAAATCTGCTAGACAAACATTTGGCCTGGGACCTTGGATGGGCGAATAGTAATTTTCAGCTTTTTAAAAGTTATTTTATGTTTGTTACGTATCTGTTTGTATACCTTTTTCCTTTTCTTTAGTTTAAACAACCTTCCTTAAGTAACCCTCTACTTGATGTCTTTTTCCAGCATTATATTAATGCTTAACGTTTTTCGGCGTCAAAATAGTTCCTAGCTTTGTTTTAGTTTCTGTTCTGATTCTATGCCATCTGTCACATTTAAAAAAAGTATGCTCCACATAGTCTCTTCTATCAGAGTATGCACTCTTTTATATGTGTAGAGGTACGTTTTAACGTTTTAAGTTGACTTAGGAAGTAGTTTATTTCTCACCACGGTCTACTGATCCACGGTGTTATCGCAGGAAAGATTCTTTTGCTTCCCCTAGTTTTGCAGCTATCCCTAGTCCATTTGTCTTCTCATTCTTGAAACAGCTGTTTGGTTTCCTTATTTCTCTCATCTGTGTCTTGTTTCGTTACAAGCTTTCTTTTCAATCCAATCTAGCTCAACCTAACTCAACCCAATGATGTTCCACCACCTTCATTAGCTTCTTACACCCAGGTTCCTCTCTTCACACACATCCGTAATTGCTCTCTTATGTACAGGGTGTCCAAATTTCGATGGGTTTGCAGGATATCTCAGTTATTATGAAAGATAGAAAGTTGCGGTTTTCGCGAACCTGAGCTACTTTTTTGTGAAACTTATAATGCCGCAAACCAAATTTTCATAGACCTCTTCGTTTTTGATATACAGGGAGTATTTCAAAATTTACGATTTTCAGACACCCCCCGTATCTCGGCTATCCGGAAACTTAGTAAAAAAGTAAAAACGGGTTCTAATAGATTTTTTCACGGAGAATCCAATGGTGCACGTAGAATTTTTCTAGTCATCACGGTTTTTGAGTTATAAACACAACTTAGGTTTTTTTAAATGGAACCACCTATATTTTATTTTTTTATTGAACTGGATTTTTTTCAAGCTTTTCAATGATATATAATACTCTATACTTACCTTTATAATTAACCTCGAAATTGAATAAAATACATTATTTTATAAGTAGGCAATGATAAATAGACTGCCTAGCCTGACGTCACAGAGATGGGCGGAGCTTATATCGACTCCAAACAATTTCGTTGCTAACCACAGTTGCTAATGATAAACCGTAATAAAAATGTCATTTGAAATGTCATAAAAAGTCACTTAGTTTATTTTATTTTAACACTAATTGAAAAATTGCATATGGTGATTTACCGTTAGCAACACACTTAGCTATGAAAATGTTTGGAGTCGATATAAGCTCCGCCCATCTCTGTTACGTCAAGGCTTAGGTTGTCTATTAAGTGATCGCGTTGCTAGGATACCGGAATAAACAAAGTAAATATAGTTAATTACTGTCAAACTTAATTTTGAATTTTGTGCTAACAATAAGTCGTGTGTTACTTAATTACCTTTAATTAACTTAACTTAATTATCTTTTTCTTGAAATGGAGCGCTATGAAAATTATGAAAAATATGACATGCTAGCATGTTACATTCATGCAAATGAAAATGTTAATCAAGCTGCTGAATTATACATAAATAGGTAGAATGCAACATTTATCAGCAATAACATTTTATTAGCAGATTGTTTCACTTCAGATATCCAGAAAGAGCGCAACCAAATTCAAAAATTTTTTTGCGAATAAAGCGTAATTTGATCAATTATGGAAGTTTTTTGATGCCCAGGCCAAAAAAATATAATAAAGAAAATCGGAATAACAATGAAATTACCGTGTTAGGATGTGTGGAAGCCGCGCCTAAAACATCATGTAGGGAAATTGAATGTCAAGTTGGAATTAAAAAATCGACAGCCTGTGCGATTCTAAAAAAGTATAAATATAAACCCTACAAAGAACAAATAGTTCACCACTTACACCCGGGAGATGCCGAACGACGTTTGGAATTCTGTAACTGGTATTTGAACCATGCACAAAATAATATTGAATTTAGTTCCTCTATTATATGGTCTGATGAGGCATATTTTACCAGCACAGGAATCTATAATCGTCATAATAACAGGCATTGGCATCAAGAAAACCAACATATTGTAATTGAGCGGGAGCGTCAAGGAAAATTTGGTTTTAGCGTGGCATGTTTTATTATTGGGCCACGAATTGTTTACAAAATATTTGAAGGAAACCTTTGCGCTAATCGCTATTTGGCCATCTTGCAAGAGGCTTTGCCAGAGATTTTGGATGATATTCCTCTTATTCGGCTAAATAATATTTATTTTCAGCAGGACGGAGCTCCCGCTCATAATGCGCAGTTAGTGAGTCGCTACCTAACTGCAGAATTTCCTGGTAGGTGGATAGGCACACATGGTCCAACGCGATGGCCAGCAAGATCACCTGATTTATCTATTTTGGACTTCTTTTTATGGGGATATATCAAGAATCGGGTATATAGTACCCAGAATCGAACAAAATTGGAATTGAAAATTGCTGTAACTGATGCTTTTTCACATTTACAGCAACATCCCATAACTATTCTAAATGCAATTAAACGCATTACTAAACTTTGTGAACAATGTGTGCATCAAAATGGTAACAACTTTGAACAATTCTTGTAACTTGAAGCCATATTTGCATAATGTTTAGTTTTTAATAATTTTTCGTTTTTAGCAAACAAAATTTAATAGATACATTTTTTTAATAAGTCAATAATTAATATTATAGTATTTTCAAAATTCTTTGTTTATTCTGGTATCCTAGCAACGCGATCACTTAATTTATCATAGCCTACTTATAAAATAATGTGGTTTTTTTAATTTCGAGGTTAATTATAAAGGTAAGTATAGAGTATTATATATCATTGAAAAGCTTGAAAAAATTCTAGTTCAATAAAAAAATAAAATATAGGTGGTTCCATTTAAAAAAACCTAAGTTGTGTTTATAACTCAAAAACCGTGATGTCTAGAAAAATTCTACGTGCATCATTGGATTCTACGTGAAAAAATCTATTAGAACCCGTTTTTACTTTTTTACTAAGTTTCCGGATAGCCGAGATACGGGGGGTGTCTGAAAATCGTAAATTTTGAAATACTCCCTGTATATCAAAAACGAAGAGGTCTATGAAAATTTGGTTTGCGGCATTGTAAGTTTCACAAAAAAGTAGCTCAGGTTCGCGAAAACCGCAACTTTCTATCTTTCATAATAACTGAGATACCCTGCAAACCCATCGAAATTTGGACACCCTGTAGATACAAAGTAATGGTGGCTTATCAGGAATTGATTGAGGTGGTAGTCTACCTCGCCCCAGCCTCTGTTCCCCAACCCAACCCAACGCTTTAGATCTTTTAGAATTCTCTTTAACCATGCAGCCTGGCCCGTGTCTATACTCCACCTACGCCTCGACGATCTTGTCCCCATTCTTCTCCCAACTTGCTGCTTTTCCTTTAATCATCAGATCCATTGGCAGCGAGCTACCTACCACCTGCAGCGCTTCCGTTGAGCTAGTTCTATATTCACTCAATGTTCTTATCAGAATTCCTTTTTGTATCCTAGTAATCTTTGTTAGATTTTTCTTGACTTCGCACGCGTCCTTCCAAGCCCTGAGCATAAATGGTCGACCCAATTATTCTTCTTTTTGATGCCGCTGGACCAAACATGATTGATCTTCACTGTTTCTTCAACATGTTCATTCCATTTTAGGTCTTTTGCTAGTTCCCCCAACCCAATTCAACCCAATTCTGCCAATCTCCAACCATACTACCATCATAACTCATAACTAGGGCCCGGAACTTTTGTAACGGTACGATACGATTTACCCCCTCCACTTGTTCTCCTAGAAAATGATCGGTTGTTATTGACGACCGACGATCGGTTTTTTATTGCGCATCAATGTCAACATTGTCAACTGTCAGTACGATTTCACTGTTGTCCAAATGTGCAGTATTCGACGCTTTTCATCCGCATAATTTCGTCAAATTTGCTATTTATCTTTCTTTAGTTACCTTTAATTGGAAGTTGGAGTTCTGTTTGAGTTCGTATTATTGTTTTTTTTAAGAATTGTTTTTAGTTTCCCTTTGTGGTAAAATTGTTGTTCGGATTTGAGAATTGTTCAACAAATTGCCGAAAACAATATACCTTTAACTCTTAAGGAAAAATATGGTTCAATAGCTCAGTATTTTATTTATGCTCTATTTACAAGTTGTGATGTTGAAAGATTATTTTCTAGGTACAAACTCATTTTAACGTCAACTAGAACGTCATTTACAGAAGAAAATTTAGGGATGGTTGTTTCAATATGCGTTAACAGCAATTTTTTTATATCCGTATCCGATTTGTGATTGATATTACAAATCGGATCATGTTTTTTTGAATTAAAGTTATAAAATATATTTTTTTTTAATATTTTCAAATCGTACTGACAGTTGACACTGACGTGTAATAAACCGATTGTCGGTCGTCAACAACAACCGATGAGGTGAGTTGACTTGACGCCACCGCCTTGTTTTCTAGGAGAACAAGTGGTGGGGGTAAATCGTATCGTTCCGTTACAAAAGTTCCGTGCCCTACTCATAACAATATGGGTAAGTTGATAAAAACTTTTTCAAATTTTTGAACTGGAATTTTTTATCATATCCTGCATATATTATGAAACACCTGTATACTAGAGGAACATATGCAGTTTTACTCTGCTATTATGGATTGGCCCACAACCACAGGACAACTTCCAGAGGGGGGACGAAGGGGAAGACGACTGAACAAAACATATTCTTTTATTTTGAAGTTTTTTCGTTTTTTCTAAAATAAAATAGAAAAGTTGGGGCAAAGATGGGTTATAATTAGATCTTACAAAACCACTTTAAAATTATTACTTTAAAATAATTCAATTTCTATAAATCAATTTAATTCAACACCAACAAAAACAAACATAACCTCAACATGTTTATTCTTATTTTTTACAAATACTTATTTAAATGTATTAAAAATAAAGGGATTACCTTATTATTATCCATACTATTGGAAGATAAAGCACCAGTTTGTTCACGTAAAATATAATTATGTAACAACCGTGATTTTTTTTGTAACTCCGCCACCAAAGTATTAACATGTTCCTCAAGAAAATCGATTTTTTCCGATTTTCTAGCACTAACCCTTTGCAATTTAACTATATGTTCAATTAAAGCTTGTTTATCTAAAACCCTTTCAGGTTGAACAACCTTAAAAACGAAAATAATTAAATTAATTTATTTAAAATTATAACCAAAATTACCTTAACTTGATCTTCGAAATGATTACTTTGGAGTAATTCGCCCCCATTTCTCTCAGTGACAACCCCGTTTAACGAAGTACTCGAACTACTACTACTACTAATAACCGTACTTAAACAATTATTATTTTCGTATTGGTCCAATTTTTTCCGACACTGATTCAACTCCTTGTTGACTTCTCGCAATGATAATTCGAATTTCCGTTTTATAACGGCATTTTCACCTTTTTGATCGCCAATTTCAACAGTTAATTGATCACATAATTTTGATTTATCTTCCAAATTTTTTAATAAAGTTTCAATTTCACTCGAAGATTTCTTTTTTTCTTCCATTAATTGGTTCGATAATAAAATCGCTTTCGTTTCTTGCTCTTTTGTACCTCTCTTTAATAACGTTTGTTCACATATTAATTGTTGAACCTAAATATACACATTTCAGTCACTTTTTTTTACAAATAAATTATAAAATTACCTTAGTTTCCATTGCTGTAAATTCGGATTGTAACCTAACATTTTTATCGGTTAATTGTTGAGTAAATAATAATAAATCAGCCTCTTTTATATGACAAGATTCCATATCAGATTCTAATTCATTATTTCTTAGTTTTAAATGGTTTATTTGCTCTTTATAAGCACTTAATTGTTCTTGTTCACTAAAAGAATTAATTTTAAATTATTAAACAAATTAGAAGTAGACTAAAACTAAGATTAGACCTAGGGTTTAGTTTAAACCCGATATTTTCTAGTTCTAGATCTTGTGTTAGTTTTAGTGATAGTGCTAGTCCAAAACTAGAACTAACACTAGAGCTAGAACTAAAACATTCAAGGTTAACGTTTCTTATTCCATCTTTTTTTAAATAAATGCATCATGTTTGGACTAATTTTCAAGTTTTTTTTGTGTTCCAGGATAGATGTTACAAAAGGTATAATGACTTAAAAATTTTTGAATTTTATTTTAAGGCTGAGGAATTAATCGTTAAAATAAGAGTGCTACACATGAAGGAGTGTCAGCTAACGAAAATCAGCTTATTGATGACGAAGCTATATTCACACCAAATTTCAACTCTGCAACTCACAGCTAAAGGGATGGTTTAATTTCTTTTTAAAGCCGAGACGTTTTTACCCTATTTTATTAGCAGTTTCATAATTTATTCTGGAATTCTGGGTTCAAAAGCAGGTAGTAAGCTTCGTAACATTCAATATGAGCATATTTTCCATCTTCAATCCGTTTCCCTGTGCGTTTCAATCTTAGCGACGGATTTGCGACCGTGGTGAAATTAACAAAATCCGTCGCTAATCTTTTCTTAACCCTTTGTGTCCCGACGGTACTTTAAAGTACCGGTAGCTTTAAACACTCACTTTAAATCATTTTAAAAAGAAAGCGTTGAGATTTAATTTAAAATANTTATGGTCAACTTCCGGTTAGAAATGTCAACGTCAATTTTGACATATTTGTAATCTTCATTAAAAATCCTTTAAAATGAGTACAAACACGACATACTTATCTTCAATATTAATTAAGTTGTGATCAACTTCCGGTTAAGAATGTCAATTTTGACATATTTGTAATCGTCGTGAAAATTCCTTTAAAATGTGCCCGAACATGATACGTTTAATTCCAATATTACTCGAGATATAAGCAACTTCCGGTTTGAAATGTCAACGTCATTTTACCATATTCTTAATTTTTATAAAATGTCTCAAAATTTATTACAAAAACAAAAATATAATAAAAAAAATCAGAAATTAGGGTTGGTATTAATATTTAAAAATTAAATTGCTAACTTCATTGTTGCTAACTTCGGGTTTAATATTTTTTATTCTAAGTTTTTTGTTTCTTGAGATAGGTGCGTCATGTTTGGACTCATTTTAAAGGTTATTTTATAAAGATTACGAATATGGTAAAAAAATTAAAGTTGACATTAACACCTGAAAGTTTTTTATTACCCCAACCTCAATTTTGCCATATTTGTAATGTTCATTAAAAATCCTTTAAAATGAATATAAACACGACATATTTATCTTCAATATTAACAAAGTTATGGTCAACTTCCGGTTAGAAATGTCAATGTCAATTTTGACATATTTGTAATCATCGTGAAAAATCCTTTAAAATAAGCCGAAACATGATACGTTTAATTCCAATATTACTCGAGATATAAGCAACTTCCGGTTTGAAATGTCAATGTCATTTTGACATATTCATAATTTTTATAAAATGTCTTAATATTTGTCACAAAATCAAAAATATAATAAAAAAAAATAAAAAATTAAGGTTGGTATTAATATTTGAAAATTAAATT